TCACCCTATCACATTATCCCAAAATCTTATATCAACTCTAAGTCTAAAAATCTCATCTTCTAAATCATCTAAATCAAGTATGGGTGAGAATCTGGGCATATTCCATCCTGGGGCAAAATTCCTCTCCATCTCTGACCTGTGAAATCTAGAATACAAGTCATCTGTTTCCAAAGTACAATGGTGGAACATACACAGGGTAGACATTCCCATTACAAATGGCAGAAATCATGGGTACCAAGCAAGTCCACAACCCATCGGAACAAGCTACATTCGATCTCAAGGCTTGAAAATACTCCTATATTCTCTGAGACCATCTGGATATGGTCTCGTCCTCCAAACTCTGGGAATTGGCCACACTCTCTGAATTCTGAATGGAGGCCCCTTGGCCCTGGGAACCAGGATCACCTTTCAGGCCCACTAGGACAACAACTCTGTTCCCCCTGCTTTGGGCAGCCCCATTCCCCTAGTGCATCTGGGTGGTGACCCCAACTGAACTCTGGAACTGAGTTGTTGGAGATCTGACTCTGAAACCTAGCAAGCGGTTTTCCACCCTTTGAAATGGAGACAGCCCTGTCTTACCATGGTCCCTCCAACAGTTCTGCTGGTCTCCAAACTGTTCCCAAGATGGTGCCTTCCTTTTCTTGGGGGACAACAGATGTTTGCAATCAAGTTGCTCCGCTGATCCATTTACTACCTTTAGAATTCCAGAAGGCAGGCAGCTTTCCATCACTCTGTGCTGTCTCTGTTCCTTTCAGTCTAAGCTGATGGGATTTTTGCTTCAGTGGTTCAACAGATACATCAGTCACAGGCTTAATCTCTTTAACAAAAGATTGAGTCACCATGTCCTTGGTGAAAGTGCTAGTCTTTAAGTTCTGGCTTCATTTTGTGTAGTTCATTTTTAAGTTCAATCTCTTTCCTCCCACATTCTACTATAAGCAGCAAGGAGAAACCATGCTGCCCATGCCACCCCTTTAAGATTGTGCTCAGGACCCAATAATTTAACAATAGAAATGACATCAAAAGTACAAACAACACAAGACAAATTGGACTTTGTCAAAATTTAAAATTTTTGTGCAACAAAGGACTTTATCAACAAAGTGAAGAGACAACTACAGACTGGGAGAAAATTTAGGGAAACTATATAGCTGATAAGGGTTTAATGTCCAGAACATATAAAGAACTACTACAACTTAACAACAAAAAGACAAACAACCCAAATCAAAAAACGGGCAAAGAGTCTGAATAGACATTTTACCCAAGAAGAAATATAAATGGTCAATAAGCACATGAAAAGATACTCAACGTCATTAGTCACAAAACCACAATGAGTTATCACTTCATGCCTACTAACATGGCTATGTTTTAAAAAATGGAAAATAACAAGTGTTGGCAAGGATGCAGAGAAATAGGAACCCTTATCCATTGCTGGTAGGAATGTAAAATGATACAGGTGCTGCAGAAAACAGTTTGGCAGTTCCTCAAATAGTTCAGCATAGAAATTACTATGTTGTTGTTAGGTGCCGTTGAGTTGATTTCGTCTCATAGCAACCCCATGTGACAGAGTAGAACTGCCTCATAGGGTTTTCTAGGCTGGAATCTTTACAGGAGCAGATTCCAGGTCTTTCTCCCTCGGAATCACTGGGTGGCTTCAAATTGCCAACGTTTCGGTTAGTAGCTGAGCACTTAACCACTATATCACTAAGGCTCCTGAGAATTACTATATGATCCAGCAATTCCACTCCTAGGTATGTACCCAAAAGAACTGAGAGCAAGAACGTAAACAGATACTTGTATACCAATGTTAACTGCAGCACTATTCACAGTAGACAAAAGGTGAAACCAAACTAAACGTCTAGCAACAGATGAATGGATACACACACACACAATGAAATATTATTCAGCCATAAAGAGAAACAAAGTTCTACAATATGGACAAACCTTGAAAATATTATGTTGAGTGAAATACGTCAATCAGAAAAGGACAAATATTATATGATCCACTTATATGAAATAACTAGAATACGCAAATGTATAGAGACCATTACCAGTGATTAGCAGGGGCAGGAGGGAGGGGAAAAAGAGGAGTCATTGCTTAGGGAGCACTGAGTTTCTGTTAAGGGTGATGAAGATTTTTCGAAAAGGAAAGTGGTGATGGTTGTACTACATGATGAACGTAATTAATGTCACTGAACTGTACATGTAAAAAAATGTTGAAATAACAAATGTTTTATTATATATACATTCACCACCATTAAACAAGGGCATTAATGTAAAACAATAGAAACAGATCATACAAATAAACTATCCTGATAATAAAAAGGGCTATAACAAGAATTCTAAATTATTTAAAAATTATAATTCAATGTTAAAAAACATGTAAATTTTGACGAAATGATGAACAAATCAATGGCATGAAAAAAAGAAAGGACAGGGAAGGAAGCTGAAGGGATTACTCTAGTTTAAAGAGGCTTAAGAGACTTTAAAAATCAAATGCAATGTCTGAACCTTATTTGGATCTTGATTTGGACTAGCCAACTACGAAAAAGAGTTTGGGGGTAATTGAGAAGATATGAATATGTACTGGGAATCAGATGATATTGAGGAGTTATGGTTACTTTTGCTAGCTGTAACAGTGGCACTGTGGTGATATATGCAGATGTCCTCATCAGGGGGTGCACAGAAGAGAAATGTCATGATACTTGAGATTCACCTCAAAAGAAAATACATCAACAACAAGCAAGCAAGCAAATACACCTTGAAAAGCACTGACAAAGCAAATATGGACAAATATTAGTAACTGTTACATCCAGGCGATAGGTGTATGCAGGGTTGATTATATTATTCTCTCCACTTTTCATATGTTTGAGCTTTTCAAAATAGAAAGATAAAACAAATTTTCTTAGCAGATGATTTTAAGTATTAGCTCTTTCAAATTTTCAAACATGTAATTCCTAATCTAGAAAACTCACTGCAGAACACATACATGTACATATCCATGTGATATGTACATACGTACATCAATTTTACTTAAGACTGTATTTTGAAAAAGTTCTTAAAAACCACTAATAAATCAAATGCTATAGTATATTAAAATAATTATCCAGAGGAGCAATAGATTCTACCTAAAGAATAAAAAAAGGTTTCTGGGATATATAACTGTATATACAATATAACTCTGATTTTGTAACATTTACTCATATAAGCTAAGGAAAAAAAAAGACGAAAACAAAATAAATCAAAATATTAATATTATTATCTCTACCATGAGATTATGGGTAGTTTTTGCTTATTCTCTTTTGCGGTATTTTCTATAATATACATTTCTTTTCCATAAAAAGACTGAAAACCTCTCTGTGTCTAAAGTTTTCAAATTTTACTAGTAAAATCATTTTCTATATGCCATACAATCATGTGTTTATTTGTAGTTGTTCAACATTATCTTTGTTAGTTAAACTTCAAGTTGCCAACATTCTTCTCAGGCAAACCTCTAACAAATGAGACTATATAAATTTAATGCACCAAATAAAACTTGAAATCTGCCAAAGAGTGAAGGCATTTATAGAATGCAAGAACAATCACTTCAAATGCATGTGAAAACTGGCAATTAATAAAGGAAGACGGAAGAAGAATTGATGCCTTTGAATTACAGTGTCAGCAAAGAATACTGAATACACCATGGACTGCCAGAAGAACAAACAAATCTATCTTGGAAGAAGTACAGCCAGAACGCTCCTTAGAAGCAAGGATGGTGGGACTCCATCTCATGTACTTTGGACATGTTATCAGGAGGGGCAAGTCCCTGGAGAAGGACATCATCTTTGGTAAAGTAGAGGGTGAGCGAAAAAGAGGAAGACCCTAAACGAGCTGAATTGACACAGTGGCTTAACAACAGGCTCAAGCATAACAAAGATTGTGAGGATGGGGCAGGACCTGACAGTGTTTCGTTCTGTTGTACACAGGGTCGCTATGAGTTGGAACCGACTCTATGGCACCTAACAACAAGATCAACTACTGATAACCTGGAGGGAATAACAATAAGCACAAAGAAAATATAAAACACAGAGTATTGATCAAAGATGACCACGTAATTTTCTATCCCCTGCCAGGCATTCATATTTCTACCACTTCAAAACCTAACTCTATCTGCAAGGAAAGAGCTGTATCATACGCACATAGCTTGTCAGATGTCAACTATGCATGCTGGCACATGAGAGGAGGGGTTGTTCAAAAAAAAAAAAAGAACATTTGTACTTTAAGAATACAAATTAATAATAAAAAAAAATTAAGCCTTATCTTGTTTTAAAGAAGGCATGGCAGTTAGAGTTATAAGTACTTAAAGTTAGCTTTTAAAAAGAATTGGATTAACTTTTATTCATATATTTCACTTTTTACTGGATAAACAATATTTTTTATTAATTAAAGGTAGTTTAAAAAGGAGATACCCAATATCTTTCATAGAAATTTCTAAAAATATGGTATTTTCATTTAATATAATTTCCTTTGCATATAAAGATGATGGTACAGACAACGACAGTTAACTTTGCTTATGCATGTCGGGGACTGGGGATATGATGGCTAAAAAGATGACATATCACCAACAGTCCTTTCAAAACTGAACATGCATCAGGTCACATTTATAGACTTAGTTACATGTTTAAGGTAATAATGTCTATAAAAAAATTTTTTTTAAAAGTCTAGAATTTTACTCACTGGGATTTAATTTGTTATCTACCCTGGAGATTAGGCATCATGGAAAGGTAAGGTAGTCTCCCATTTCACACATATAAGATGGGTCAACAAAAGTCTCACAGACAAATATCTGAAGTACCAAGCCTTCAAAGGGATTCCAGCCTAGTCTGCAACAAATTATTTACTGAACATTTTAGATCTCTACTTTTATAAACACAGAACTAATGTCACACCCTGTAAATACTCTGCAAGCACAGTGTCGCGTTTCCATTATGGAAGCTCCCAACAGATGACTCAGGGTATCACCTTACCTGAGAGGGCATCTTGTGCTTCAAAGAAAGTACTGAGACCTCCTTTCACATATGCCAGACTGCCTTCATTCTTCTTGTTAGCCTGTTTCTTCAGATTGTTGACTGCCGTTTTGAGTTGTTCAAAACTGAAATGAAATAAAGAAACCAAATGTCTGAGGCTCCTCCACCCACTGCCAGCAAGTCGATTCTGACTCATAGGGACCCTGTAGGACACGGCAGAACTGTCCCATAGGTTCCCCAAGGCTGTAAATCTTTAGAAGCAGACTGCCATATCTTTTTCCCACAGAGCAGCTGGTGGGTTCGAACTGCCAATCTTTGGGTTAGCAGCTGAGCACTTAACCACGGCACCACCAAGGCTCCTCTGAGACTTCTAACAAGCAAAAACAATATAAGATAAATTCATTAAGGGTAAAATACTAGGAATAGTTAAACCTACATTAAGAAACATACAGACTAATACAATATGTAACTGGATAAAAATAAAAAGCTCTCAAATTCTTACCTAGATCTTAACCTTTTATTTATCATAAATGCTTAAATTGCAGCCACTATAAAAGACTTTTGCAGCCCTCAATGATAATTCCAAATATGTCAGACCCCTCAGAAGTAAACACACATGCAGTTATTTTTAAAATCTATACATAAACTATACGTTTAAACTATATATGATATACATAAACTATATATAATATACAGTGAAACCTGTGAGAGCCAGAACTTGATGGGACTGCCTTGTTTTCCACCTTGGACAGGTTGCAGTCTTACCACTTTTCTGTTGCTCTCTATTGGTAGATAATATTTGAGTTTTCCTTCTCTAACAGGTTTCCATCTTACACAGGTTCTGGCTTTTGCAGGTTTTACTATATATGATTTACCAGGTAAAGGGTTTTGAATATCATCTACTTGATAGAAACCCTGAAGGGAAGACACGGGTCATGTAATGATGGACAGTACTCCAAGAGGCAGAACTCCTCTTGAAGTCCACACATGCATTGAAGTATTCTGGGTACAAGTTGAGCATAATGCTATCCTAACCACTTCAACACCAAGCCCACTGTCATTAATAATAAATTACATAAAATTGTGGGTGAATTTACCATTTAATTTTATCGCTATTTCTCAAATACAGAAAAATACATAGACCTCTGTATTTCATAAGTTTTATTCCTATTCTATCTAAAATATTCTGAATATAAAACTTAAAATATATTTTTGAGTACCATGATAACCCTAGACAGAAAACAGACATAAATGTTGGTTTATATTAGAAAAAGCATGTCCATAACGTAAAAGTAGAACCATCCTTTACAATCAAAGGATTCATTTTAGATATCTGATTTAAAAATTCATCAGACCAAATCTGTTCTATATATTAAAATACCAACTTTTCTTCATGTTTTCTATTAGTGATTTTCACTTAATAAGGAAAAATTTACCTTAAGGTATGTTTTAACATGTTGACTTCTAAAGAATGTAAATTCTAAGCAATAAACCTTTCATATATTCAAACATCTTTACTCAATATAATTGTTTTCAATCAATCTTGCAAGTAAGTTACAAGCCTGCTCTTATACTGTACAAAATGTTAATCAGCAGACAAACAGAAACACTTTAAAGTGGAGTGGATATATGACCTGTATATTTTTTGACTAATTTTAAGCCCGTTCTTTACTAAATGACAAACCAACTGATCCTGCTTTGCTCCTACAATGGTCAGGGAAGGCAGTTTTGTGTGTATTTTATACCAGGACTTATCATTGTTGTGTTAGTGAAGTAGAGAGAAATTGTGTTGGTACACATCAGTTTAAATACCCAGATGAGACTCCACAAAGTTTTAACACGTGAATAATGAAATGTAGAAACAAAATTAGAGTGGGAAATAAGGGTCCTATGATGAATAATCTCATTCTACAAATCAGGAAATAGATGCCCTGAGATGTTTTACTGGCTCATCCAGAGTCAAAGGGCTCATGGGTGGCAGGGACAGACCTAAACAGGTCCTATACAAGTTATTGTATATTTCTACTTCAAGCATCCAGATGAAACCATGAACTGCTGACAGCCAGATATGTACTAACCTGGTGTTTGAGTGGTTCTCTATAAGATACCAGGCAGCTGAAAAATTCTCACTTGTGAAATCCGCACTCATTCCATGGAACAGCATTTCTAAGTCCTTCTGGGGAAATTTACTTCTGAGGAAGAAAAAAAGGCATAAAGTATATTTCAACTGCTATTACTACAAAAAGGTTAACAGACATCACAGAGTACCTGGTATAATACACAAACACAAATCATTACAATTATATATAATACATTACCAAGAATATGTACAGTTTTTACAAATATGTACAAAACATATTTCCTACATCATGGCTGATTTCCTATCATATAAACTTCAACTGTACATGTAAGATTGGAAAATAGTTAAAATACAGAAATTACATCAATATGAATATGAGATTTAAAGAGGGTTTAAAACATCAGATTGAACTAACATCTTATAAAATCTATCAAAATATGAAATAATTCCCCAATCAATGGATAAAAATCAAAATTTGTATACAGTGAAATTTTTTAAAAAATTAAATCAGTTGGTTAAAATATTTCTTGTTAAAGGTATAATGAAAGTTGTTTTTAGACATATTAATGTCTAAAAAATCATCAGTGTACCAATAAAATTAGATCTAATTACAACAGTTTGAATCCACCAGCCACTCGTTAGAAACCCTATGGGGCAGTTCTACTCTGTCCTATAGGGTGGCTGTGAGTCAGAATCAACTTGACAGCAACGGATTTGGTTTTGCTTACACAGCACTTATACTTGCATGTTCATGTCTAGAAAAATTTTACACAAAGCTTGTGATAACAACAGGCTATACATCATCTGCAACTCACTTTGTTGGCCTCATTTTTAAGTGTAATTTCTACATCAATTCATTTATTTACTCACTCAAATACTTATTAAGTATCTACTACACGTCAGGCTCCACACAGAGTGCCAGATGGTTATATCTGAGAACAGAAGTAACATGGCTGGCTCTGCCACCACAGCTTACGGCCAGCACGGCCAAGCCCTATCTTTGCAGGGGAAGTCTACGGCCCATAGCCCATAGTAAGGCTTCAAAGTCGCTTTTAACTCTGCTTCATCTTGGGACTCATTTCCTACCACTTATCCTTCCTGCCTAAAGATGAAATCACAGTTGACAGGCTGCTGGTTTGGGGGGAAAAGTGATAGACTTTTGTGCCTTTTCTCTGCTAGCTAGTTTCAAATGGTAAGGGTTAAAGGTGAGGTGGAAGGAAGACAGGTGGGAATAGAAAGTTCTTCTTGGTTAGTGGGTGGTACTGTTAAAGGTGACTTGTGCCTTTGTTCCTCCCAGATGTTTGAAACTTACTTTTCGTCTGTGGGCATTTTCATGAGCTCACTAAAGGCCCTCTGGTGGACCCCTCCCACTGCACTCCTCCCACTGCTGCTCCTCAGCCTCTAGTTGCTCCACCATCTCATTCCATACAGACTCTCATGCGGAGCTCAGATGGCCTGGAGCCTGCTCTCTCCTGTGAGGCACTCATTTGGTCTACAGGAAACTCTGTTTCCTTTGTGCTGAGAACCTCATGGCAGCCCCTTCTCTGTTCTCCACATGGGCTGTCTCAGTCTTCTCAGGTGGTGCCAGGATTCAGTGCATCATAACTGCAGGGAACGCTTTAACCTAGCGGGTGCACGGAAACCCATTCCCCAGGCCTGAGGTAAAGAGGACTGCACGCTCCCCACACCTCCCCCTTCACCACCGCTTTCTCTAAAGAATCTCCGCACAAATCCTCCCTTCCTCTACTCTCTCTTCATGTTCCCTAAAAGGGGATGCAAGTAGCAAAACCAGTTCTGTCATTTCCTCTTCTACTTACATAGTGTTAGTACCTCAGTCAAGACAGACAAGGAGTCCTACTTTAACATCCTGTTACCTTTTTCACTATACAGTTTTCTTTTTTTAATTAGGGAACAACAACAACAACAAAAAGCCTTATTTAAAATCTTAATCAGACAAAATGAGATGGGACTTTAAGTCATGGATATCAGGTTGGCATCACCTCAGTCTTAGTAATTTTGAGACTAAGTAAATCTTCCAACTTTCCACACTAGCTTCAAAGGTTAAAAGGTCTATAGTCTGAATCTTCTTATTTGTGCACAAGTGTGTGTATGTGTGTGTATCATTCATAAGATTACTGGTCATTTTTACTAGTCAGCAGTCTTCTCAGAGGGAGGTGGAGAACTCTGCATTTTCAGGAGTTTATTTTGGTTTGGATTCTTCATGCTGGTTCTAATACTTTACTTAGTAATAAAATCCTGTTACCTTTGGAAGTTTTTCTCATTTTATTTATTTACACACCATGCTTCCAAGTTAAAAATTGGAGAATATAATGTCTGAGTGGAGACTTAGGCTAAGCTAGGCCATGCTGAGTCCTGCTAAAGAAATCTAAGAAGGTTTCTGCCTGTAGCCCTACCCTAACTGATTGGTAGTGTCTGTCTAGAGCGCTGTGTTAAGGACCATGTGGATTTCTCTCACTCAGTGGGAAATAATGGCATGGTCAACCAGGAAGGCCTGCCTCTGTGTGAGAGAGGAGGGCATGAAGACATACATACCACGCTCGGCGAGCTTGCCTTTGTATAATGCTTACATGAGCATCCTTCTACATGCTGTCTAGCATTTCAGTCACTCAAGAAAGTTAAATAATCTTAATAGAATCAAAATATACTATAAAATCGCCAATATCAACCAAATCCCTACTAATAGCAGTTTTTTATTAATTATTCAACTACATGAAATGCTCGTCTAAGAAGGATCAATTCCAAACTCACATATTAAGAGTACCACTGAAAGACAAGCAGTAAAAAGGGATTCTGAGAAGCCAGATTCAACTCCACTATCCCTCCTTGAAGGTCGAAGAGTTTGACGTTGCATGGGTGGTTCCCTGTCCGTAATTGAAGCAGAAGGGGATTGCTGAGGTTAAGAACTGACAATATCAAGAAAAAAAAAGATAACCCAATCAAAAAATGGGCATAAGACTTAAGCAGACATTTCACCAAAGAGGATATTCAAATGGCCAACAAGCACGTTAAGATACTCGACGTCATTAGCAATTAGACAGATGCAAATCAAAAACACAATGATATACCACTTCACTCTCACTAGGATAACTAAGAACAAAAAAAGAAAAATAACAAATGTTGGAGAGGATGTAGACAAATTAGAATCCTTATCTATTGCTGGTGGGAATGCAAAATGGTACAGCCACTGTGAAGAACAGTTCGGCAAGTCCTCAAAATGTTAAACATAGAACTACTACAACCAAACCCACTGCTGTCAGGCTGATTCTGACTCACAGTGATGCTAAAAGATAGAGCATAACTATCCTATAGGGTTTCCAAGGCTGTAATCTTTACGGGAGCAGACTGCCACATCTTTCTCCCACGGAGTGGCTAGTGGATTTGAACTGCTGACCTTTTGGTCAGCAGCCAAGCACTTTAACCACTGCACTACCAGGGCTCCTTATGAACTACCATAAAACCCAAAAAACCAAGCCCACTGCCGCTGAGTTGATTCTGACTCATAGTGACCCTACAGGACAAAGTAGAAATGCCCCATAGGGTTTCCAAAGAGTGGCTGGTGGATTCGAACTGCAGACCTTTTGGTTAGCAGCCAAATGCTTAACCACTGTGCCAACAAGGCTCCATGAACTACCATATGACCTAGTAATTCTACTCCTAGGCAACTTTCAAGAGACTTGAAAGCAGTGACACAAATAGACACATGTACACCAATGTTCTCTGCAGCACTATTCGCAATAGCCAAAGGTGGAAATAACTGAAATGTCCACCAAAAAAAATGGATAAACAAAATGTGGTATATACGTACAATGGAACACTGTTCAGCCATAAAGAGAAATAAAGTCCTGATACATGCTATAGATGAACCTTGAAAACATTATGCTGAGTGAAGTAAGTCCATCACAAAAGACAAATGGTGTATAATCTTACTTATATGAAAAAACAAAAACAGCAAATGTATAGAAATCAAAGTTTATTAGTGGTTACCAGGGGTAGGAGGGAGAGGGACAAGGGGCGTCATTGTTTTTGGAAGGAGTTTTTGTTTATGGTGATGGGAAATTTGGCAATAAGTATGGGTGATGGTTGCACAACATGATTAATGGAAGTGATATCACTAAATTGTATACCTGAAAAATACTAAATTGGCAAATGTGTTATATATACTTTTACAACAACAAAAATGTTTTAAAAATTAAAATAATAATAATAATCTTCCCCAAATCACACAATTAAGTCCAAGTCTAAACTTGCATAGAAATACAGACCCCCTTTTTAGCTGACACTGATGGCTAACAACCCAGCATTCCCTCTCGATCCTCTTTGCTAAAAGAACTCCATATAGCCCAGGGCTCCCCTTCACTGAGTGATTCCAGTCATCCTAAGCCAACCCTGGTTATCATATTCCCCTTGCTATTTATGGGCTGACCTTGTTTTGGCAATGATATCTGAAGAGAGGTCTACTGGAGCACTTCTGGGAAAGTTGTTGTCTTAGGCTGGTTCTCTGTGGAAGCCAATAAAGCGTACAAATATCTAAATAAATAGATTTATATAAAGGAAATGGCTCACGCAGTTGTAGAAACTGTAACATCCCAAATCCGTGGATCAGGCTAGAGGCTTCTCCCAATTCATGCAGCCGCAGGGGCTGGCGAACCCAAGATCAGAAGGTCAGAGAGCAGGGCTCTTGCTCACAGGCTGCAAAGACCAACGAATCCCAAGATCAGCAGGTAAGACCGCAGGTAAGCTGCTAGCTCAAGTCCCAAGAACCGGAGGTCAGATGAACAAGAGTCAGCTGCAGGATCCAGAGCAAGCAAAAGCCCACAGGTCCTGCCACAGAGTCCACTTACATATCTGATGTAGGCCACACCACCAAGGAAACTCCCTTTCAACTGAATGGCTACTCACAGCAGATTTCTTCAAGGAGGTGATCACATTATATCAACTCTCATCACAGAAGTGATCACATCATCATATGACTGCCAAACTACATCATAACTGTCAAACCACTGAAAATCATGGCCCAGCCAAGTTGACACATAACCTTAACAATCACAGTTCTCTAGACTTTTAAGAGGGAGAACCAAGAAGAGAGCGTGT